AAAACAACTTTACTCAGGATGTACTAAAATACAGGACGTTAATGGGAAGTATTTTAATCAGTATTTACATTTTGACTAATGGTGCTTAAAGGAATGCACTGGTTTCATACTGCCCAGGATTTTAAGACTCTCTTCATGAGGATTTGTTACATTATGGCTGTGGTTTTGCTTGTAAAAGATTAGCAGAGAATTATATACTGTGTACTCGCTGCATGTGAGGACAGTTTGTCTGTATAGAGTTAGAATAAGGGAGCAAGAAGCTCTTAACACCATCGCCTTCATTTGTCAGCTTTAGCCCAAGGCAGTTGGTTGATGACAGCTTCGAAAATTTGATTTCTAATACTTTCAAATAATGAAATAGCTCAATTTATTTGAACGAGGAAACCATTTAGGTCTTCCTATGAAAGAACCTACTTGGCTGTAGGCTGGCTTTAGGAATCAGAGGCATTAATAAGAGTTAGATTTGAAAGCAAGTGCTGGTAGTACTAGAGAATTGAACCAGTAAAAACACAAGAGAGTAACTCTAGAAGCAACTGCAAGCAGAGTGGTTTTAGATGGGTTTGTTTTAACTCCCAAATTTCACAGCCACCCATTGATTCTGGTACAAAGAAACCAAGTGAGCCTGAAAGAAAGTACCACTGAACACAAGAGCTAAACCAACAAGTGCTCCTGTTTGTTCAGCGCTTGAATCTGTGAAGTCAAAGCTGTCTTGACACGAGCATTTTCCTGTTTAGCTGCAGTCTTGCATGGTTTTTATTAGTCCTCCCCTGGGCACCAGGCAGCTTTTCCTTGCTTTTTCCCAGTTTGTAAATAAGAAAGCAGCGCTGAACCATATAAAAGGTGCTCCCACACCTTCAGCGCTGCACCATATAAAAGATGCTCCCACACCCTCAGTGCTGTTTTGCACAGGACAGAAATGAAGCTCTAAAGAAAAGCTTCAGTGGACCACATCCCTCCTGCTGCTGCTCGTCCTCGGATTGATGAGCAACAGGGAGTTATTGCATGAAAAGTGGGGCTAAGCAGAGAGAAAGACTGATAGAATCCGCTGGGGATGAAGGACACTTGCCTTGTGTGTTTGAGCCACTGTTAGGAAATGAAGTTCATTCTTCAGGGAAATTGAAGACCACACCGCACCTTTTTTACTTGGAGAAACGTAAGAGCTGGATCTTGACCTCACCCATTTGGTGGCAGGCGTAAAGCACTGAAAAAGCCTTCATTTCTCTGCAGGCAGCATCTTCTGCAGACACCTTCAAGCTTGCCTGCATGCCCTCTGTGTAAATGAGGAGATCTGCAGTAACAGTGGCACAGTCAGCAGCACGTTCTCTTCCAGAACTTACTCCCATTCGGATTATTCTTTCTAGTAACCATGGGTAGCTCTTATCACTCACCACCATGGTTTTTGTTCTCTACCATCTCTCTTATTATCTCTTATTCCCATTGTTATCATCTTTGAACTGACCACAAATCCACCACCACCACCAAAAAACCTCTCCTTGCCTTCCCCTCAGTGACTGCAACAAATCATTTTTACTGCATCACTTACAGTTTATCCGCTGGTGCTTCCATTCCAGTTGTGGGATTTTGGTGTGTTTGTTTGCTTTCAAAGTGCCTAAGTTCTGCTGCTGGCTAAATAGCAAAACGTCTTCAAGCTGTCTCCTTTACTAACATATGTAGAGAATCCCAGTTCTGCCTTCTCTCAGATTTCCTTTCTCTCTTTTCCCACTTAATGTTTGTCAGAGCTCCTCCGTACATTATGAGGCTTCTGGGGCAGGGAACCTGACTTGAAATCATTGAATCACAGAATGGTTTGGGTCAGAAAGGAGCTTATGATCATCCAGTTCCAACCCCCTGCCATGGGTAGGGACATCTCACACTAGACCATGTTGCCCAGGCTCTGTCCAGCCTGGCCTTGAACACTTCCAGGGATGGGGCATTCACCACTTCTTTGGGCAACCCATTCCGGTGCCTCAGCACCTTATAGAAAAGCCATGGCAAAGTGCCATATCACATCGTATGCTGTCCATGTTAAATACTGTTAAAAAATGGTCCATTCTTCTCAGCTCTTTCACCCCTTTCTCAGTTGCTGATGGGCCTATGAAGTACTTAAATGCTTTAAGTGATTTATCACAATACTCCGTGTTTTGCATAGGCACTTGTTGAATTGTTTGTATTTAGGATGTTCTTTGAGAGGTAAAAGGTTACACTGACTTCCAGGTTACTGCCATCAAATCATTGTTTGCTACATCTTGTGACAACACTCTGAGGTCTTAACAGATCAGTTGAGAGACTTAATGGCCAATTACTGCCTTTATATTTTGCCCCCAGATAGCAGTAGGCTGCAAGAAATTAAGAGTTTATTCTGAATAAGTAGAACTTTATTCTGAAATATCCTAAACAGAAATGTAATAACATTTAATAAAATGTAATACAAATTCTAAATAGACCTTTATTCTGAATAAATAGAAATAAATAAGTAAAACTCTGGCAAACGCAGTGCCTTGTGGCTTTCCGGCAGGTACCGGTACCCATTGGCCACCGCAGCCCTGTAGCCGCATGTAGTTTATGGCACCATGGGATTTAGTGCTGAGCTTTCCAAGCAAAACCCACCTGCTTATTTCAGTCTATATTTGGATGAGTTTTTCTGTATGGAAAAGGCTGCATTGTGACAAGAGAAGCTCACCATCGAGAAAACACACATTTTCTTGTCCTGCATCCTGTTATTACCACATCCATCATCTTTTTCTTCACAAGGTTTTTTCCATGCTGCAGCTTATTTAGCACCACGTGGCAGAATGGTTGCATACTGGGGGGCTGACTTCTTGTTTGGTTGTCTCCATCCTGAGGTTAGTATCACTGAAAGATTGCATGGCTGCAGTTTAACTGAGCTCTGCCATGGACGTAAGGAGGACTGGGAATTTCAGAGCTGTAGGAAGTGAGATACACATAGAGGGCATTCTCCTTTCCCTGGTGACCACCCCACTGTTGCTGGTATCCCTTGTACCTCTTGGTGCCCTGCTGCCCTCCAGTCACCAGGCACTGGATGGGAAGGTGTTTCAGCACATCTTGCTCAGAGGGCATGAAAATCCCTTGCTACCACTTGAGTCTCATCTCTCACTGCAGAATTTATCTTCCTCAGACTACTGTTTATTCTGCATCCTTATTTAGGTACCTATTTTAATCACGCAATGGCTGTATCGTATGTGATCCCAGGGAAAGCCTGGCACATCTCAATTTCGCCCATCTCTGCCTGATGATTTTGCCTGTAGCTGTGAAAAAGAGATTGGAGTCCGTGTTTTCTTTTACTGTGAATAGCAGCCATCAGAAAGTACTTGCTATGGCTGCAAACAGAAGTTGGTTTCTTTCCAAGTGAGACAACACAAGCTGTAGACGAAGACAAACAAAGCATCCAACAAGGGAGGGGGATGCAGACAGAGAAGTCCAGCATAGCATCCATAAGGCCATTACAGTATTTCTTCGCTTATGCACTGTTCTTCTCTTTCCCCTATCTTAGTTACCACTCTCAGTGGTTAATGGTTGGTTTAAGCATGCCCTAAGTTAATACCTTCCCCATGGGGTACTGATGCAGAATAAAAACATACTGATTTCTGTCTGGTGTGGAACAAAAGAGCCCCACGTCCAACACTTTGTCTCCTGTAGAGAAGAATGTGAAATACGACAGAGGACAGCATAAACTCTGTGTACCTCAATGCACAGTGCTGAGGCAAGGGTGAAACATCACTTTTGAACGTAGTATTAGCTTACTGAGTGTGAGGAGCAGGGCAAAGGCAAACAACCTGTTTGATCTCGTGGTTGTATAACCAGCACCATTATAGCTCATTGGCACTGACAGATGATTTTAAAACATATTATACTTCCAGGGTTTCAGCTAGCAGCAAGGCTGGGGAGGGGGCTCTGTATGGGTAGTTCTTCACTCATTGACAATGCTTGGTGCACGTTATCACTTCTTCTTCTCATCGAGGCAATGATGACCTTTAGTTTGAGTGAGCCCCTGCTTTGCTGCCATGCCATGAAAAGCTGCTGGACAGGATGCTCCTTTTCCTTGTTTCTATGTAAAGAAGTTCTTCCTTTTGGGAAACTCCCAGATGTGTTATTGTTTTATAGGTGCATTTGGGACACAGGAATCAATATGGGATGCCGAACACTTCCTAAAGCTGTTCAGGGTTTTGGCATCAGTGTTGTGTCTGCCTCACACAGCAGCACCCGTTCTACTAATGGGTGGCCCAAGGAATAACCGTCTGATAACCCAGTCCGTTTGTAACACCACGAAATCAGTGTAAACAGAGGCATTGCAGAAGACATCCCCCTTGGAAACCTGCCAGGGTTTATTGAACACATCTGTCTTGACAAAGCGCTTCAGCTGAGATCAAACAAACCCCTTCCTTGCGCTGAACAGCTGCAGATATTTTAAAATGAAGTTAAGCCTGAAGGGAAAAAAAAAACAACACACCCCACAGAGCAGGGATGAAAAATAACACTTCGGGTAAAGTAATGAGGTGGCTGCAGCACGATCCGCAGCGGCACAGGACACGAACTGACACGGTCACATTAGGCTCGCTGGTGGCGGCAGTCACTGACCAGGCCGCACGAAGCGTGCTGCATCCATAGGGATGCAATTCCTGTCCTTTGGCATCAACCGGCTCCCTTTTACCTCAGGAGACACCCCCCCTCCCTGCCCGCTCCCTTCTCCGCCCTGTTGGTGGCTGGGCGGCGCCGAGGGAGCCCCGCTGTGGGTCCGTCCTCCCCCCCCACCTCAGCCCCGCACACGGCGTTAGGAGCGGGCACCGGGCAGCCAGCACCGCGCCGCGGGTCTCCTCTGAGGTGAGGCGCGGCCCCGCCGCCACCCCTCGCCCCGCCTTTGGCCCGGCCCCTCCGCGCCCATTGGCAGCCGGCGCCCGGGCAGGTGCCGGTGCGCGGCGGGGGCACCGCGGCAGCACCCGGCGGCGCGTCCGGCGCTAAGGGGAGGGGAAGGAGACGGCGGTGCTGGCGGCGGCGACGACTGCGGGCTCTCGCCTTGCGCTGGTGCGGAGCCGGGCCCCCTCGGCTCCACGCAGGTGTCAGGCCGGGGGCCGGCGTGGGGCGGCCGCAGCCCCTTCCCTGCATGAGCGACGGGGCGCGGGGAAGTTGCTGCCCGCCTGCCATTTTGGTGCAGCCCTCGCGTTTGGCTGAGGGTGAGTACGGCCGCGGGCGGGCAGGGGGTGGCGGTGAGGGGACACCCTTGGGGCCGCCCGCCGCAGCGCCCCGTCGGGGGACGGGGTGTTCGGTCGGTGCTCGGCTCCCCCCCCACTCCCCGCTCCGCTTGTGAGGGGAGTCGCGGGTGGGGCCGGTCCCGCGGGCCTTGTGGGCTGAGGGGGCCGCCGCCCTCCGCGGGCACTCGGTGGGGGGAGCGGGGCACGGTGCGAGGCCGCTTTAATCAGCGGGGTGATGTCTGAGGAGCTTCATCGCTGGCGGCGTGGCGGTGCGAGCGCTGTCACCGCAGTGCATCATCATCATCATCATCATCGCCGTTATTATCGTTACACTGGGTTACTTTCGATCAACTTCCCCGCCGGCACATGGAGGGGTTCATCGCGGCTCTGCCTCTGCCCCCTTTTAGCACAGGAGCATCCCGCCGGCTCCGCTTGTAATGTGTGCCTCAGACAGACAGAAGCAGCGTGCGTTTCCCTAGTATCAAGGTCAATTTGTCGTAACTGCTGAGGAAAATACCATCTGGCTCGGGCTGACTTTGGGGAGGGAATCTAATTAAAGCGGGAGCGTGTGTTGTGCTGGGGGTTGTGTTGTGGTTGAGGCGAACGTAACCACATTAGATCGCAGAGCGCATTAGGAGCGGGCGGGCGTCCCTCCTCAAGCGCCTCTGCAAGGATGCTAACCGTGCCTGGCGATCTCTTGACAAATGGTGGCTTTTGCCTTACACCTCCCCTTTGACTGGCTCCTGTGCCGCTGAAAATGCGGGCGGCTGCCTTGCTGTGGAGCCCGGAGTTTGTTAGAACAGGCACTGCAAGGGTTTCGCCAGTAAAGGTTTTTACTTGTTCCTCTGAAAACCCTTTTCTGCAAGGCTGCAAAGAGGAAAGAGGGAAAGTTAGTTTGGTTCTTCCATTGGCAGACATCGTTCTGACTGTCATCGGACTGGATGGGGTTTTATAGCCGCTTATTAATGGTGATAGCGGATCCCTGTGAGCTGCATCGAGAGCACTGGCTCTGTCCCTGCAGTTAAGTGTCAGACAGGAAACGTTTGCTGCTTGCTTCTAGCTTGAGAAAGTGAGCAGAGCTGTGTAAGAAGCAGAAGGTGCTCTATCTGGTACATAATCCCTCAGGCTATTGCCTTACCCATCCTCACTCAGGAACTGGATTGCATCAGAGCGTATTTACTAATGCGTTTTGCCTAAGTGTCCAAACATGTACTCGGCGATCCTGTAGCCTTCCTGTGGAATTTGTCAGGTAACTTAATGCAATGCATATAGCAATCACAAACAGAGTAGCATTTTCAGCAGCTGTGATACATTAATTGCCATTGAGAACTCCCAGAAGTCAATTCCACCCTAGTAGCTCCCTTGGGCATGAGAGAGCACTGCCCCTATGGCAGGATGTGCGTTTTGGACCTCCTGCTGATTCAAATGCTACAATATTGTCCTTTCAGACAGGTTAATGGTTGTCTTCACCACTGCCATCCAGGAGCAATATGAGACTGAGAAAGCCAAGCTAAAACTTGTGATTATTTTCCTGAGTCGGCTTCCTGCTTCCACTCTAACCTGATGAATATAGCTGAGTGTGCTACAGAGGGTGTACCCGAGTGTTATGAACGCAGCAGTAATTCACCTCTCTCACTGAACAGTTGCAGTAAACAGAACACTTGAAGAACTTGTACTTAAACAAAGAAGAAAAGTTCCCTAAACCATGCATGGGTGATGCTGAAGAAAAGCTGCAAATACCAAATATGCTATTGTGCATAAACGTACATCTGTATGAAAATGGGACTCCTTTGTATTGCTGCCAACATTAACATGCCCTATTGTTATCAGACTGGAAACTGCTGTTTGGCAGTGTGAACTGCCTTAACTTGCCCATGGAGACTTGGACAAGTTAAAAGAAACTAGTTGAATATAGTTCCGTGAAAACCATAGGAATAATTAATTGTCTTTGAAAAAGCAGATTCATTTGTTTGAGCAGACTAAGTCAGCCTTCCCATGGAATGCTTTATTCACCTTCCTTTTGGACCCAGGTAGGTTATTAATAGATTCTGAGAGATATTAAAGGCTTCTGGCTTACCTGTCAACTCCTGACAGCCAGAAAATAAACCAGCCCCAAGTTTCTTACATTCAGAGGTTTATATCAGCTTATTTTCAAAAGAAGCTTATTAAAAGAGGAAGATAACTGCTGTATTTCAGTGTGGAGTGAAGCATACCAGACTGTTGCTGAGATTACCAGAGAAACTTGGCCTTTATCTACGGCATAAATAAGGAATTTTGTAGAAGGACTAAATACGGTGTAGTCTGATAAGATTCCAAGCCATGGTTTAGTTTTGTCTATCTTTGTGAGATTTGGCAAAAATACCTGTCTCCAAATTTGATGTGACTTGACAGATGCCCCAAAGGAAGACCCCTTTTATGTGGCTGGCACACTAGTGAGAGTCATATGGTACAGACTAGTGGTTGTGACCTGCTTGCTATTTAACGTTCAGTTGAAATGTGTTACCCTGTTATTTGTTTTAAACAATCTTATGGAAAAAAAATCATGCTGCAGTTCTTAAAAAATGTACTTTCAGAAAAGAAACAGGATGTTTGACATTCTGTGTCTTGAAAATAAAGCAATAAAGCACGATATAGTGGAAAGCTTTAGCTTAGAAGAACAGAGTATAAGGGCTGCAGTGGCTTGACCGGACAAAAGCTAGTCTCAGCGTTATTGCAGTAATGGCCCATACTTCGATCTCATGGATGCTATTCTGGAAATAGGAATACATCAGGAAAACATCAGATTTCCAGGCCAATAAGCATTAAATTTCAACAGCAGAGCAGAATGTTTATTTATTTATTTATTTAAGAATGTTACACTGACAAAACCCCACATCTTGCAAATTTTTACTGACATAGCAGTCCCTGAGCTGGGTAAAGGAAACAAGAGCTCTTGTTACTTCCTCTGTGCTTGGTTTACTTATTGATCAACTGATGAACATAAAGCTAATATTGGTGTTTATTCGGATCATTGCAGTTATTGCTGTCTGTTGGTTGACTTAAGATACAGAGCATTACCCTAGGAAGTAAATTTTGCATTCTTCAAGGCAAAGTACAAGTATAACCTCACCTATACAAGTGGAGGAGCTAACTGCTGTGGAGATTAATCTTCAAGATGAGATGCTTTCAATGGCACTGTCTCAAGTTGACTCATGGTAATCAATTAAGTAGTCTCCCTGGGTATTGCTGGTACTGCTGGCAGGCAGGAAGGGAACTCTAGTACTGCTGAAGACCCAAGCTCAAGTTCTGCTGTGCAGCAGTTCCAAAAACCTTCTCTGTCTGGATTCTTCCTTGCAACATATGCTGCTTTTTGATGGAGAAGAATAAATGGATAAGTGACCTAATGCAGCCATCATTTCTGGATCAAGTCTGTTTAAAGGGTGCTGAGGTAATTTACTGTAGAGAGTGAGATGTAGTCTCTTCTTGTGATAGCAATCTGAAGTGTTGAGCCTCATTCAAAGGCTATTAAAGTCTGTGCGCTCCCACTGGCTTTAATGAGTCTTGAATCCGGGAAACAGCCTGAAATCTTTGGGGTATTTTAGTAACAAAACAGTCCCTTCTCCAGCACCCTCCACCTGCCTCTATGTGGACTAATACATGGCTCTGCTGTTATAAACCAACTTTCTACCCTTGGAGGAAGGCAGCGCATAATTTATTTGCCTTCAGGAGAGGAAAGAAAGCAAAACATGTTTACAACTCGAGGAGTAAGTTTTATGTTCTGCTCCTGTGATGAGGAGTTTTATCTCTTCTGAAACTAACTCAAGAAGGGCTTCTGTGCTTATCAGGCGTTACCTTTGATGCAGAAGGTAATTTTAATGTGCTTTTCTTTTGTTCCCTTTGGGCTGTGTGAACAGGATGTTGTGTCACAGGCCAATCCAAACCGAAAAGTGCTGGTTTGTGCCATTAGCATTAGTTGCTAGGACATGGATGCTCAGTGCGTGATTTGTGTGCTGTTTTCAAAGATGCAGCTAACGCTGCACTGGAGTACCTCGAGCTGCAGAGTGTACCTGTTTTTCTAAGCATCGTTAATCTTCCAAGAGGTTCTTCCCTTTTTTCCCCTTTAAGAGAACGGATCCCTCTGCCCCTCAGTGGTCATCCCCGGGAGTGCTTGGTGTACCGCTGGAAGTTATCTCAACGCTTGCATCTAGCTGTCATCAGTGCTTTGGTATTCGTTTGATGGAACATGAGTTGGGTTTAAATCAAGCTGTGGGGCATGAATTGGAGCAACACCAGGTTTTAAAAACAATACAAAGAGCTTTGAGGAGGGTTATAAAAGGTGTCTTCTGGTGATGCTCTGTTTTACAACCTTAGTTGGGCTTGAGCTAAAAGGCAGTGCCAGAAATTGTCCATAAATTAATCACTGCAAGCACAAAAGTCATGGTTTGAGTCCCAGCTAAGAAGCAAACAGTTCTCCTCTAGAGAAGATCAGCCTGCTTCTTCCAACTCCTTACACTTTTAATGTTTAATGATGAGGCTTCAGGTTCTTTCTCCATCACAGGTCAAAAAGAGGGGAATCAATAGATGAAATACTGTGTCCCACACATGATTAAGTGAACCGTACCTCCTCTGTGGAGTTCTGTCATCTGTGGAGTTGTGGCAGATGGAGAATAGCTAAGATTGTGCTTTCAGTTAGGGGAGAAGTTGCTGTCAATGTCGTATCAAGGTCCAGAGGCTAATGTAGAGCAATAGAGACAGGAGTTTTCTTGGTAAAGCTGATGTCCTTTATGTAGGAGCTTATCAAAGGAGCATGCTATGCAGTGTACTGGTAATGCCACTTCGATCTTCAAGATTGGGCCCTGATAAAGGGAACTGCCTTCAAAAATGAAGGAACTAAGCTGCAGAAGAGTCCGAGCTAGTTCCTAATGATAGTGGCTTAATGTAAGCTGATCAGATAGCAGCTTCTGTGGGACTCTAAAAAGGTGTCTGTGCTGCCTGGATGATTC